ACGACGGTTTGAGAGAGGAATAAAGGAGGCCATCTTTGTGAAAAGAAATAGTCCATTGTTAAACAGGGGTGGAGCCTACGTGTTCAACTGTCCCCCTCTTACAATGCTGTGATTGCTGGTATCACTCAGCCCTCTGTGAATAGTAAACAGCCATCAGGTGCTAATAATCCATTGTTAGGCTGATGGTCCTTCTTGAGCATGTGATCAGCTGGTTTTGGTTGTCAGCAGCAAACTGGTTGATCCACTCTGAGAAGGTGCTATTTAGGAGACTGAGCTGAATACAGCACCTCAGACTGAGGAAGTCTTTCGGATGAGAGACGAAACGTTTCTACACTTTTTGTTGTTTTACTTTGTTTTGTTTTTTGGAATGTCCAGTGGACCAGATTTAATTTTTTTAGAGACTTTAGACACAATTTTAACTACTTCACAAACAGAACCAGTCCAAAATCTGCCTTTCTAAGTTTCACTGGTTTGACTAATCAATTAGACCTTTGATACAAAGCTATTTGTTATTCATTTGTTTGTTATGCATAATTTATCATCAAATATATCACAGATTGTTATTTTTATAATAAAATATATAAAAGCAACTGAATTTGTGATTATTTTGTCATGTCTGTGTGTATTACCTGATTTGATGCCCTTTAAACACGAGAAAATAATTCACGTTTCAGTTTACATTTAATTTGGGATTAGAGACTGATTTTTCCTCTAAAACAGAGGTGGTGTCCAAACAACGAGGTTTTTTGCATAATAAATGCATATCTTATGAGCTTAACTCATAACTGATCATTTTCAATATATATCCAGCCTCATGTCACCCTACACCCGTGAACAATATCCTAGAACAATACAAACTTGTTTCAACTGGCCATGAGGTAGTCCTCTGAAATATAAAAAGTAGTTTAGACAACTGCTGTTAATACAAAACAAACAAAAAAAATCGGTTTCTCATGCAAGTATCGGCCGATTTCCCAAAATTAAGGAAATCGGGGCCGATAAATTGGCCGGCCGATTTATCGGTGCACCCCTAATATGTGTGTATGTGTGTATATATATATACATGGGATGCCATATATCATATATATATATA